AAAAAAAAAAAGAAAAGAAAAGAAACACCGTCCCAAGAACTTCCTCTCCCCGCCCCTGCTCCTAGTTTGGTGTGCCTCGACCACGTGACCAGCCCCGCAACCCGCCCGCGTGACTGCGGCCCACTTCTCCCTATCCCCCTGCCCAAAGGCCCTGAGATCCCCCGACTCTCACTGATGCCGATGACCATCTGCGTAATAGTCCCTGGGCTCGGGGCGTATCCCAGCTTCATGGGCTTCCGCGCCACCCAGTACACATACCCGCCCGCCCCTATCAGCCCCGACCCGGAGAGCACGCGACAGCTCCAGCAGTTATTAAGTAGAGGCGCTTCCGCTGGAGAGGTCGGCGCTCCAGGTGCAGCCAGGGGCAGGGGCTCGGCGGAGTTGGTGACCTCAGGAGGCGCAGCGACTTTGATGGGCTCCACAGGTTGGGACAAGAAAGAACCCATATTCAAGAACTCGGTCTCAACTGCGGGAGTCTTCCGACCGAACTGACGTCAAAGATACGACCGGAAGCAGAGCCCCGGCTCACTGCACCGGAAGCAGCCTGAGGGTCGCTGGGAAATGTAGTTCTGGCCTGCCTCGAACGGAAAAAAGATGGTGGCAGCCCGTGTTTGTGGATTTCTGAGGCAACAAACTCGGCATTGCCAGAGGCCATTCCCTGCTACACCCTGCCCCAATCATTTTAAGAATTATGACTTAAATTAAGAATTAAATTAAATTAAGAATTAAACCCCTAAATGTCTCAACTCTTACTTTCCTTAGAGGAGGAATCTGGATTTCTAATTTTTTTTGCCTAGCAAACAATGTGAGATCTTGAGCATTACATTTCACCTGTCTCAAGAAAAGAATTAAGTTTTGTATGTGCTTAACTATATGCTAGACACTTTGCTAAGCGATCATCTGCATCATGCCATTTAATCTTTCCAATCCAATGACATATCAGTTTCCCAATACATGACAAAACTGGTGAAATGACATAGCCATATTTGAAACCAATGTCTGTGTCAATACAGTCAAATTTCTTAAATGTTACCTGTACATATTATCGATGCAAAATGAACAAATCTTTTTCTTAAATTTTGAAGACAAAGGAAAAGAGTTGTATTCGAGCTCAAGAGGGAACAGCTGCCTGATATACACAATTTTCACAAAGAAGAGAGTGTTCTGGGAAAGGAACATTTGGTACAAGATTATATATGTTTTTACAGAAAGAGTTACAAATCATCATGATGAAGAACATTCCAGAAAGTCACAGCTTTTTGTTTTTATCTTATGTTTTTAGGATATTGGCAAGTTGCATGACTTTAAACTTATGGGAAACAGGGAAATTTCTTTATTCTTATGTTCAGAATACTCATTTTATTTTATTTTTATTTTATTTATTATTATTATTATTATTATTTTATTTAAAGCAGACCATGTGTGCTTAGGGCAGAAATAGAGCCCATTCTTTGAGGTTTTGACAAGTCATTTTGACCTTGATAAATGTTAAAATATAGCTTCCCTAGGATCTCAAGAGCAGGAAACATTCAAAGTTGAAAATTTCCTTTATTAATATTGTGAGGAGATTACACAAATATAATCAAGGTGTTAAAAATGTGTTTGAATTACCTGGATAAATACTTTTCATTTT